TAAAGCTGCCACAACAAGCTATATGGTTTAGGAGATTGCTTAGAGGTCTTTGTGAAGGGCAAGAAAAAGGCAACTAAAATTTTCTGCGCCAATAAAGCAACAATTGTCATGACCAATAATCCAATATTCCATGAGTAAATAAAGCACATTGAAATAAAACATCATGTGATCAGAGACATGTTTGAAGATTTATTTGAGATAAATTATTGCCCCACAAAGAACAAAGATTTATTTGAGATAAATTATTGCCCCACAAAGAACAAGCGGCTGATGGTTTCATAAAAGCACTCTATTTTAAAAAAAATTGTTCATTCAAAAAATTACTTGATGTAAAGAATTTTACATTAAAGGGGAGTGGTGAATGTTGATACAAAAATCTAGGAGCTTAGAGTCACGTGAAAGCCTTGTAGATGTCTCCTAGTTTCTCTCTCTAAGTTATGTGTGTATCTCTCTCAATGTGCAGTCATTTATAGTAGTTACATGATAGTGGTGATAGTTATCCATTATTTTCTTTCATTAAATTAATGTGGGCGGTTACAATAAGTGGAAAATTATGTTAGTTGCAAGCGAATAGTTATTCCCAATTGAATAGTTATTCTAAGTGAGAAGATATACATGTAACTTGTTGTGGAGGTCGTGGTGGTACCATCTCCACACGTTGCCCCACACTGGTCTCTATGTTGTGGTTTTCATTCCCACTAATACTTTCAAAAAGCTAACTCTTAAACTATTTAAGAGGTTGTAGTGGTAGCCTCCCCACCCACTGCACCACACGTTGGTGCACCACACGTTGGTCATCATGTTGTGGTTTCCATTCCCACTAATACTTTAAAAAAGCTAACTCTTAAACTATTTAAGAGGCCGTGGTGGTAGCATCCCCACACGCTGCCCCATACGTTGGTCACCATGTTGTGGTTTTCATTCCCACTAATACTTTCAAAAAGCTAACAACTATTTAAGAGGTCATGGTGGTGGTTTCCATTCCCACTAATACTTTCAAGAAGCTAAGAACTATTTAAAAGGTCGTGGTGGTAGCATTCCCACACGCTAGTCACCATGTTGTGAGGTCGTGGTGGTGGTTTCCATTCCCACTAATACTTTCAAAAAGCTAACAACTATTTAAGAGGTCGTGGTGGTGGTTTCCATTCCCACTAATACTTTCAAAAAGCTAACAACTATTTACGAGGTCATGGTGGTAGCATCCCCACACGCTAGTTACCATGTTGTAAGGTCGTGGTGGTAGCATCCCCACACGCTAGTCACCATGTTGTGGTTTTCATTCTCACTAATACCTTCAGTCTTCCCTACTTAATTACCCAAAAAAAACCTCTGATGGAGGTAGGAATCGAGCTTGGGCTTGACTACTTAATAATTCCTACTACTAAACTACCTATTTCCCCAAAATGTGCATACAAGAGAGATTTGATATCATCAAGATTCCAAAAAAGAAAAAACAAAAAAGAAAAAACAACCAGAGAAGCGCACATCTTGAAGAGAAAATTCGCCTAAACTTCTTTCATTATCATTGAAAACACATAAATTGGTTTTACATATACAAATGGGATCGTGAGGAAATCTAGGAAATTTAAATCCATGTTACAATTTACCCAAAGGAAAATATACTTAGGCACCTTTGGTTCGGTCCTTGAAGAGACGTCCTTGAAGAGATTATAGACTCAAAAGAAAGAAAACTATGCAAAAAGAGATAGGAAAGTGCATGGGCACATCATTCCCATATACGTGTACTACAGAAGCACCTTCCTTCACTTCTGGTCTTCTCTAAGCTTTGTAACCTTCAAATGAGTATATGGGTTGCAGATGTTTCTCTTTGTAAGCTTTACACGATCGGAGATAAAGAAGAAGCCGGCGGATCAACTTCTCAGTCTGCATAAATGTGCGTGAGAGAGTGTATTTATAGAGTATGAGAGTTGTTCGAGGGGGTAGGCTTGTATCTCCATAGTATTTATCCAAAATCAACAGATCTCTCGTGATAGTTGCAGCAGATAAAGAACAAATCCTTTTGATTTTGAAATCTCCTTCAAAGCTATTTCATTGGATATATTTCACTTCTTTCAACTTTAATTTCAGTGTCAAATCAAAACAAACCCGTTTGAATCATAAGGAAACTCAGGAGATGAGATATATGTAGCCTACAACTGTCAAATTGTCAAAACTGCATGTCTAATTGAACATACTTTAGTACAACGGTTGTAACTCACAACTGGGAACTCCTTTTCCTATGACAATTTCCAGGCAGGTAGAGGACTCGGATACGAACAAAATGGTCCAAGTCTCACTTAACTATTTATATGCTCCATTTTAGACCATATATTGATATGCATGATGATTGTATACTCTTTTTTTATGCGATGTGAAGGTAACGGTTAATGAACATTCAAACAGGAAATGGAATCTCAATATTCACGTATTTTTACAAATAAAGAAAGTCCATAATGTGCTACCCAATTTATTTTTGCAAATCAAAAGGTAATATTTAGAACAATTTTTTATAATTATTTGAAATTTTTTTATGGCCGGATTTAGCCGATCAGGCAATCCACCAATCCAGATCATAGATCCAGACCGGCTTTCCATATGGTTTTTCAATTGTTCCTAACTTCTTTAAAAAAGAAAAAGAACCAAACGTCCAATTATAATGGAATGCTTGAAGGGTTGCCAATTTTTAATATCTACCATATAGTTTCATATTTGCAATATGTTGATAATACCCTGATTTTTTTATATTTGCAATATATTGATAAACACCCTGATTTTCTTGAAGGCTTCTTTTGAACGAATGAAATATTTGTAGTTGTTTTTCATGTGCAATCAACTTATCTCAGGGGTAAGAATCAATATTGCAAAAACTAAGCTCACCGGCATTAATTATGCTGATTTGGAAGTCAGGGAATGGCCTCGGGAATAGGTGTGGTTTTGACAATCTTCTAGTTAAATACCTGGGTTTGCCAGAACTGGATGAGTTTGAAGTGGAGGGACAGAAAAGAAGAAGTATCATTTGGTCAAGTGGAAGGAAGTATGTCTACCAAAGAAGGATAAGGGCTTGCATGTTAGGGAGCTTAAACTACTTGATTGAGTGGTGATGGAGATTGGCCACTAGAAGACAACATCTATGGAAGGCTGTCCTCTTCAATAAATATGGAACAGATGGTTCTAGTTTTCTCACTAGGGTGAATCATACTGGGACTTCAGTAGTGCGGAGAGATATAGAGAAAGAGAGACCATTGATTATATTTTAGGGAAAGTTACAAAAAATCTCCTAAAATACACTATCTATATAACTTACCCTCATCCAAACTTTTTCTCTTACTTTTTTCCCCACAACAACCTTTCCTTGCAAAAACCCCCCAAAGTAAAAAATTGTTATTTTTTGGACGGAAATGCCACTCCTGTACAAAAAAAATCAATTGGCGGTCACAAGTAGTGTATTGCCGGAGCAAGCTATTCAACCGCCGAAGCGCTGTGGCTCTAGAAGGTGTACTACCGGAGCGCGTTTTCGTAATGCCGGAGCGCGTTGTATTCATTGCTGGAGCGACCTATTCAACTGCCGGAGCGCTGTGGCTCTAGAAAGTGTACTGCCGGAGAGTCTTTATATTGCTGGAGCGCATGTCTTCATTGCCGGAGCAACCTATTCAACCGTCGGAGCGCTATGGCTCCCAAAGGTGTACTGCCAAAGCGAGTCTTTGTATGACCGTAGCATATTGTCTTCATTGCGGAGCATTTAATTGGACTGTCGGAGCACTGTAGCTCCAGAAAGTGTGCTGCCGGAGCGTTGTAGCTCCAGAAAGTGTGCTGCCGTAGCGCATCTTTCTACTGCCGGAGCGTGTTGTCTTCACTGCCAGAGCTCGGGCCAGAGAGAGAGGGAGGGAGCTCGGGCCGTAGGGCGCAAGGGAGGCGTGGGTAAAAAACTAGAGTAAAAGGAAAAACTAGAGTAAGAGGCAGAGGAGAGAGAGGCATGTATAAAAACGAGGAGAGAGAGGCGTGGGTAAAACGTGTGAGAGAGAGACGGGGGGTAGTTTAGTCGCTTTTTTCTTTTCTTTTTTGGATTGCAGGGTTATTTGCAAAGAAAGGTGGTTGTAGGGAAAAAAGTGAAAAGAAAGATTAGTTGGGGATACGTTGTATAAATAGTGTATTTTGAAGGGAGGGGGGAGGGGGGGGTTTGTAATTTTTCCTATATATCTTATGCAAGGATTTTGTTGTTGACGGCAACCAACTGCATTCTGGTTGACTAAATGGCTTCTGCATAGCCTCTTTTATTGTCTAGAAATGATAGACAAGATTGTTTGGGAGCTACAACCAGGCCGCGGCAGGTGAGGTGGGGTGGGGTGTTGGCATGAGGAGAGAGGGGAGGGGGGGCCGGGGCGGGGTTTGAGGGGAAGTCAGCGTAACCTCTACCCTCATCGTTGGTCAAACTCAATTTTGATGCGAGTAAAAAGAATACATGTATTACTGGCAAGTAATGAAGGAGCATAAAGGGATGACATGGGATGCATTATTTGGACAATAACTAGTCCCACCTTGTCAGGCTATGGAAGTGGAGCTACTTGGTCTAAAATTTTGTGTGACAAATATTGATAGTCAGGTCCTCAACTTGATAATCGAAGGCGATTATTGTAATGTGATCAAATGGTGCTTAGACCCTAATTCTACCCGTTAGACATGGGCAGGCGTGATGGCTGAGATCCTTTCTCGTTTCAGGGGTAGGCAACTTGTCTATTTGCTTGTGAATGGAGAATGAAACTCCCTTGCAGCTAGCTAGCTAAGGCTGGTATGGACTCGTGATTTTTGTCTTTACTTTTTTCCTTTTTTTTGTTTGGCCTTCATTGCAAACTGCTTGTACACTTCCATTTTCTCAGTAAAATATTTTTAAACAGTTAAAAAAATATAAAAGTAAAAACAAGCGTCCAAATATTGATCCTAACTGATTTAAAAAACAAAAGAACCAAGCGTAATTGCATTAGAGAGAGGACCCCCATCTACAGCATAAAAGATTAATGATTTAGCATATTTCAAAAAATGGCAACGTAATGATCTCCTAGGCTGCTTGATCAGGGCACATACAAAGTCTCCACAACAATGTGAGAATGAGAATGCGTGAATCCAGGGCAAGACTTTCTAACAAAATCACCCCGGAGTCGTAGGCAACCGGATTAGGTTGTTAGATATACCATCTTCAGTTTACAACGTATCGTTCCCATAACAAGACATCACCGTTAATGTTGGTCAACCAAATGTCCAATACAAACGAATTGTTGGCTGTAACTCCAAACACATGAAGGATTGGAGTCGAGATCACAACCATTCTGACCTTTTCCTTTTCATGAGGTAACTATAATGATAAGTGAAGCTTATCGATTGACAGGGGCCAATGTAGAGAGAGACTCAATAGAGGAACTCGTGCACTGCAAGTCCCAAAAGAAGTGCTCGGAATACACAAGGCAGCCAAGGCTAAACTAGCGAAACCACTGCTGCAACTGTAGGATTTGCTGCCGCTGCTCTGGTGGAAGGAGGTTGATCTGTTCAGGGGGAAGATTCATGACTTGCTGGAGTGCCTTTTCCACGTCAGGTTGTAACTACACAAAACATAGAAAAACAAACTGAATCACCAAAATCACCTCCTCTTAGCTATATTTCTCTTTTATTTTACTTTCATAGGTTCTTCTCAGCTAAGCCAGACACCAGGTACATCAGTCAAATGGTCATGATTCATCCAAGCATTTGCACTCATATTAAAATCGGATAATTAGTGCATAGAGGGAAGGGAAAGCAACTTATTCGCAAGCAATTTGGAGAAGTAACCTATGAAGGAATCCCTGCCTACACCATTTGGTGGTGATTTCAAGCTGGTAGTTAGAATAAGTTTAACAATCACTTTTCTGTTATTTGTACATAGTAAGTAGTATAGGGAAAAGTTTATATAAAGCCGAGGCTCTAAACAATCAGAGATATTTCACTAGAAGAGGTTGTTTTGATGTCTAAATATTCCCAAATTGATCATCTCGACATCAAGATGCATGTATATTAGAAAAAAATCGATTTCAAGTTTTGAAAATAGTATTTTTTGTAACACATTTTTGGACCGTCAATTTTCAAGATTTTCAAGTTTTCATAGCTGTCAATCTACACTATTTTTGAAGCTTTAAACTTTATAAATAATGATGAAAATATATTTTAAAGTTATCACAAAGATTTCCAGTATTGAAACCATATTTCTCGACACTATTTGAAGGTAGGCTCTAATTTGATTGTTTAGAGCCTAGGCTCTATACAAACAACACCCATTAGTATATATTATACAGACCCAAATCATTTTCTTCCGAATGTTTTTTAAAAAAACACTCGTTGCACAGCATAGAACAAAATCCAATATACTCATTTCCTGCTAATATATGAAGTCATTTCTAGAAGATGAGAAACTTTCCAAAAGCACAAGGTGCAAAAGACCACTGGAAATGAAAATCGTGACCATGAACAAATGTATAACACACCTGTTGACGTGGCATTTGCATCTGGCCAGCCATTATAGGGGGAGGGGGTGGCAGTTGACCTCCTCCTACTCCACTTTCAGATGGTCCAGGTAACCATGGAGCTCCACTCCCACCTTGAGAACTCTGCTCGACTCCACCATGTGAACTCGTCTGATAGACTTGAGGAGGAGGTGGTGGTGGATGACTTAACAATTGGGGTTGCCCTTGTGGAAAGGAAGGGACGCCAATGCTAGTTGGAGGGTTGATTCCTGACTGTTAAACAATTTGAAGTCAGGCAAGCATTACAATTAACTGTCTCTTCATTGTATGCATGACCCTTATCTTGCCCAAAAACCCCAAAAGACAGCATGCGAGCCGTATCAAGATCAAAAGAAACAAACTACTACCACGACCACTACTACTATTATGTTATATAGGCTTTGTAAGGAACACCTGCAACAATAATTCAGGTGGTCCAGAATTTGAAATAGAAACAGAACCTGAATTTACACCTAAAAGAAAAGCACCTGAATGGCTGGACCTGTAAATTATTAAAATGGAAATTCATTCAATAAGCATGCTGAAGTTTCCTACAGTGCTGGAACACCCCACCAGCCATCAAACAAGGGATGACTGAGATGAGTGATTTCTCTACTCAAAGTCTGTCAAAAAATTTGGACATAACCAGCCAGCGGCTGTAAGATCAGACAGCTGGGAGATAACTTCAGTGTGCTCATTGTAAGTGAACCTTTTTAAAATGGATGTTTTACCTCCAGCGCTCTTTTTCATCTTTTGTCTATATGTTGACTAGATTGGGATTAAAATTGATTTTTATGGCATTGAAAGGGCAACTACTGTCTTGATATTTCATGTTTCTGGACCACAAGCACGACCTATGCATCTTTTCCAGGTGCAGTTCTCATATTTACTTAAATAATAAATACCTGGTGCAAAATCGGCACCCGGAAAAGGGTGATCCAAGACCGATTCCACCATAGTAACTTGACAATGGAGCAAGTCGATCAATCAAGGAGAAAACACCCTCTATCACCATCAAGGAAAGGAACTAAGGACGTTTAGCCTTGTGTTGCCACTCCACCTACTAGAGGCCTTCCAACTTACAAATTAGGCAATCTCTCTCTCTCTCTCTCT